GGTTTGCTTCACTAATCTCTCTCTTCTCATTTTTCCCTCAAGAAGAGGGGCCCACAGGAGTCATGAGGGTGGGCACGCACCCTGGAGTGAATGTCTGCCATACAAAGATGACCTGGGCAGGCCAAGGAGGTGTCCAGCTTGGATATCATACAAAAGAATGCTGCACTGAACATAGTGGATTGGCAACACTGCCTCTTTGGATCCAATGCATGCTTTTACCCCACTGCATGCATCCCTCCCTAAAATGTTCTGAATCAGTGACTGAGTAGTGTTGGGGTTCTTAGAACCAGGCCTTTCCTGACCTTAGGGGAATCATCTAGTAGGCACCTTTGACTTGAGGCCTCTCTGTCAGCCTGGACAAAACTTTCTCAGTGTTGTGTCTCCATGTGTGGTCCCTCCTCCTCAATCCTTCCTTCCTTCTCTCTTTCAACAGACTCCCCATGCCTGCTCCTGTTCCCTCCTCTTTGCATCATTTCCCCCAATAAATATCTTGCTGTTGTACTAGTCCATTTCCATGGTTGTCACAGAACACTGGAGTCTGAGTAACTTATAAAGAAAAGAGGTTTAGTTGATTCACAATCTCAGAGGCTGGAAGTCCAAGCAGTATGGTATGGAGCTCCCTGGCCAGGGTGTCATGGCATAAAAACATTTGAGAGGAAAGAGGTTACATGTGCAGTCAGGAAGCCAAACAGACTACGGAGAGGCCAGGCCTGTTCTTTTGTAACAGTCCTGTCCCAAGAGCTAACCAGGGTCCCACAGGAGCCACATCAAACCCTTCTGAGGACAGCACCCTCCATGACCTAGTTACTTCCCAGTAGACCCCATCTCTTTTTTTTTAATTTTTACTTTATTCATATGTGAGTACAATGTTTGGGTCATTTCTCCCCCCTTTCCCCGACCCCTCTTTTACCCCCCCTTACCTCTCGATACCCGGCAGAAACTATTTTGCCCTTATCTCTAATTTTGTTGTAGAGAGAGTATAAGCTATAATAGGAAGGAACAAGGGTTTTTGCTAGTTGAGATAAGGATAGCTATACAGGGAGTTGTCTCACATTAATTTCCTGTGAGTGTGTGTTACCTTTAATTCTTTTGAACTAACCTTTTCTCTAGTTCCTGGTCCCCTTCTCCTATTTAGGACCCACCTCTTAAAGATCCTACCACCTCTTTTCCCACCACACTAAGGACCAAGCTCCCAACACATGACCCTTTGGGTGACACACTTAAACCACAGCCAAGCAATGGCACACATCAAATCCCATTCTGAGATTTTCTTCTTGGAGGATCTCAATTGGGATGTCCTTGTATGTGTTCCTTCATTGAGTGCATATGTGTGTGTGTGCTCTCCAAATAGCTAGATTGAGAAATGCCATTACACCAGGGAATTTTTCTCATTAAGCCCCATCTTCAAATAATCGACTGATCTAGAGAATGTTTTGGTTAATATGATCATAAATTAAGAATTGCCAGTTACTGTACTAAAGGCTTTACGTATATTATATCATTTTCATGGTGTGTACTATTCTTCATATTCTAGAATGAGAAAACTAAAGCTTTGGGGAAAAATTATTTGGGTAAAGTCACAGAGCTGGTGTGACTTTTATGCATGTCTAGCACAAACACGTCCTTTGGGCTAGATGTTCTGTTTTGCATAGATTTTTCCCTTTCGGTTTTCATCATAGTCCTGTGAGGATTAGCATCATTGAGGTCGCTCAGTGATAAGTCAGTCTGACTCCTGAGCTCATGTCTTTATCACCGCATGCCTCACAATAGCCAAGTTAGGAAATCATCCCTGGTGCCCATCAATGGATGAGTGGACAAATGAAATGTATAGATTCACAATGGAGTATTATGCAGTCGTAAAGAAGAATGAAATTCTGTCGTTTTCAGCAAAATGGGTGGAACTAGAGATCATCATGTTAAGTGTTATAAGTCAATCTCACAGAGCCAGATATCACATATTTTCTCTTTGAGTCTAGGGGAGGGGGAAAGGATACGAAAGTAAGGGGAAACTATTAGAAATGTGGAAGAAGAAAGGGGGAGGAAAGAGAGGGGATAAGAAGAGTAATGGGGTTTATTGCAGCACTATTCACAATAGCTAATCTATGGAACCAGCCAAGATGCCCCACTACTGACGAATGGATTAACAAAATGTGGTATCTATACACAATGGAATTTTATGCAGCCATGAAGAAGAATGAAATTTTGTCATTTGCAGGTAATTGGATGGAACTGGAGAACATCCTCTTAAGTGAAGTTAACCAGGTCCAGAAAGCCAATGGCCACATGTTTTCTCTCATACGTGGAATATAGACCTAATATAATACAAGTGATATTATGAAAAACAGGTCACACTAAGGGGAGCTCACATACAAGAGGGGAAGGGTAAAAGAGTGAAGTTAAGAAAGTGAATATGGTTGATGTACTCTCTATACAAGAGTGAATATGGAATGTTTAAACCTGTTGAAATCACCACAAGAAGTAGACCAAGGTAGAAAGGAGAAAAATGGAGGAGAGGAACTAATTCGGGTTATAACACATATATACATGGAAATGTCACAATGAAGCTTTCTGTACAACTATCTTATACAAACAAAATGTCTTTTTTCCAAAAATAGGGTACAAGAAGGTAAAACAGGTCCTGTCTGGGACTGATATCAGTAGTAAGGGGAAGGATATAAAGAAATGAGGCAGCAAGGTGAGTCTGGTGGAATATTATGCACTCACATATGAAAATGAAAAAATGAGACATGTTGAAACTATTCCAGGAAAGTGGGGAGGGAGGATAAAGGAGAATGATGGAAGGGGTGAGTTCAACTATGATATATTGCAAGAACTTTTGTAAATGTCACAATGTACCCCCAGTACAACATAATAAAAAAAAATACAGCAATAATAAAAAAGATTTAAAAAACACAGTTCCCATGTAGATGTCCATATGTTGATTTGGTCTTCCCAGTCACTGAAGTTATTTATGTTCTGGTGAAATTCTCCCAAACTTAGAAAATTAGACATATAATCAATAATGTGAAATGAGGTTTTGTGTACATGGAAATAGATTTGATACAATGAAAATGTGAAAACTAAGGAGTAATGAGTGAATATGGTGAAAGCCATCCTAGAATATGCACATGTGGTAATGTCCTGATGAAACCCTGTATTTTGTACAATTATAAAACGATGCTGTGCATCCATGTATTTCCTCAGATTGAGCCAAAATCCCTCTTCACCAAGTCTGTTCCACAAAACCATATGCCTTTTCTGCTTGGGGCTGAACGTTTCCCATTTCTCTCTTGTCTCATCCCCAGTCCATCCTCTAAAATTCTGTTTTTCTGCATCATTTACAAGTCTTTGCTGGTTGCTTCCTGCAGCCCACAAAGGAAACAGGAGGACCAAAACTTCCTGTGAAAGGAAGGTCAGATTCAGTCTTCAGACAATGGTGAGAAAATAATGACTTCCAGCCATCGCCTCTGGAGCTGCATACTGAGGCGTTTTGCATTCTGTCTGGGGAGTGTCTTCTCCCAGTGAACGCCCTCTAAGGAAGATGGGGCCAGGTTGATATCATAATTGGAAGCTCAAGATTTGGGGATAGAACATGATCTAGACTGATCCAGTGAAAATAATGCCGAGGGTAAGGTAGAATCTAAACACGTGCAATAAAGTTTACTGCAAAGTGGGAACACTTCCCCACCACCCCCGCCAGAGGTATTGGGAGAATTAAATAAATTAATGTCTGTGAAATGCTTAGTGCATTTCCTGACACAGAGCAAGTGATCAATAAATATTAGTTAGCAGTACTATCTGCTACAAAATGAGCCCAGCACGCTGAGAATGCCTAATTCTTCCTCCGGAAGGAATGTCAGGGAATAATAATAGGATCCCTCAACCAGGACTCCCCATGTGGTTCAGTCTTTCTCCACATCATCTATTTTAACTACCTCGATCAACCTACTGTCCCAGTTTCAAAGATCTGGATGCTAATCCTCACAAAATTAGGAATCCTATCACCAGGTCACGCAACTAAGGGCTTAACCCTGCCATTTCATGTTTCTGTGCCTTGGTTGCCTAGTCTGTAAAATCAGGCAATGAACCACCATCCTTAAAGGGAGCTGTGAGGAATTCCGTGAACATGCAATGTAAAACATGGAGCATAGCATCTGGCACATTAAGGATGCTTAATAAATGTCATGCATACATATATATGTAAAGGTGTTTATATTAATAACACATTTATATGTATTGATATGTGTGCGCATTTATCTCATCTGTGTGTGAGCTTTCAAGGGTGAGGAGGAGTTTTTGGGGTGAGAAAGGGGAGAAATAGGCATCTTGAGTTAAGAATTACAGAGCAGAAGGCCACCCCAATCCAGAGCATAAGAAGTCGCTCAGGTGAAGCAGTTTGAGAGGAAGGAGTCTTGTGGTCAGGTGGAGAGAAAGGGTTGAAGTCCCCAGGTCGGAAGGGAAAAACCACTTTGGAGAATGTGGCTCTGCCAACCACCTGCTCAACGATCAACCGCATCCCAGCAGCCTGGGAGAGTTCGTGGCCGCCTCCACCAATCCCAGTCAAGGAGGAAGCGTTTCATGGCGTCCCGTTGCCAGGCAACCTGGCCTCGCCCCAGCAGTTAGGGCCAAGGCTGAGCCCGCACTGGGGGTCGTTTGACCTTCCTGGACGCTGGTGGAGACTGGGGATTTTATCAGTGAAGTTTTATCTTTTTTTAGTTCACATTTTATTTTGCTTATAGAAGAGAAAGATATCCCCTCCCACCGAGGGAGAAAGTTTAGAAAAGTTTATTTGCAGGCTTACCCGATTCTACCCTAACCTGTTCGTGGGACACCCAGATGACTTGCTTCCCCATTATTCGTGGGTCAGAAACCCTTTTGGAGTCCGTGTATTTGGGACTGAGGAGTCAGGGAGAAATTTCTGGAACCTTTTACACCAGTGACTGCTGAACTGGAAGATTCTGGGGGGAAAAAAAACGTGGAAAACGTGAAGGATTTCCAAGATGACCAAGGTACCAGCCACCAAAAAGACGCAGAGTTCCCCCAACATGGGGGCCATGTGGCCCTTTTATTCCTCAGAACAACCGACACAGGTAAGTCTCCCTCTTTGCTGAAATCAGTCATGTTTTGGAGAACAAGTGAAATAGGAATTTGTCTCCAGACAAGGAAGAGGGGAAGGGAGAAGAGTCGTGATATAATTAAATTGTCGAGACACATCTCTGTTGCTCTCAATGGCTGGTTTCTGGTGAATGAAAACACGAATCAGAACAGTGAGCTGGGTCATGTCATTAGCCAGTAATTCCAAAATGATGGAATAAATCAGCAGTGACATGGTGCAACATCAGGAAAAAATTAAGATGAATTGTAGGTTTGCCATCACAGAACTTATTTTCAGAACTCCTCCAGGGTCAGGAGGCATGCTTTTGGGGTTGAGAGCTGGGCTTGAGGCTCACCTGCTGTGAGGCGTTAGACAAGTTACTTAGCACCCCTGAGCTTATATTTCCTCCTGTCTACAGAATGAGAATGAACTAGACAGAAATAGCGTGGAGACAAAAAAAAGTCAGATATGGAAATTGTCTAGCATGACGCTAATGCCTGATAACGTGTGTGTGGAACCTGAAGTTGTGTTGTAGATTATAATGATAAAGAAAAGTTGGAGTCAAGGGTTTCTGTGGGCATGCGACCATAACTGGGAAGGTCACAATTATGAGTGTCTTGGTTTGGTTCCCTCACACCCTTCCATTGCTGTGAATTGGCCAAGGTAGGAAAAGAGGCAATGCAAGCCCACTAAGCCCACTCTGGTGCCCCCAAAGAGCACACCCATGGCTCATAGTCAGGCCCCAGGAAGGATGGCTGGGGCAAGGGGAGTTCATGCACTTTACATGTGGTCCACACTGTTCTCAAGCATCCTCATTGCTCAGCCCTCTGAGTGAGCCTACTCTGCAAGATGCAGCCTCCTGCCTCTTTTCATCTCTAAATGCTGCACCCGGTGTGTCCCACCACAGCAGCTCCCTCTGGATCAAACAGAGGGGGAAGGAGACTGAGGAGTGAGCTGGATGTTTCACTAGCCAGGGTAAGTATCAGAGCAGACACCAACAGCCTGGGTTTGTCCTGAGTTTGCCCCTCAGCATCCCTGTGGTCTTGGGAAAGTGACAGAACTTCAAGTCTTCGGTGATGTCGTCTACAAAATGGGGATAGCATGGCACTTCCTCATGGGATTGCTGTATTAAATGACTCAATGTATGCCAAAGCCCGTAGACTAATTCTTTGACATATAGTAAGTACTCCCTAGATTTCAGTTTTGTTGTCATTTCATTCACTTAGTAAAGATTTATTGAATCCATGTTATACATTAAACACTTGCTGTTTTATAAAAAATGAGGCTCTCTTCCAAGAATCTTACCTCTATAGAGTGTATGGGCTGGGGAGTGAAAGAGGTAAGAGACATGATAAAAATTCAAGGTGATTAATGATGTGGTGATGTGGGAACAAAGAAAGGGGACAGCTAACAGAGAAGGAGAGAGAGAGAGAGAGAGAGAATCTTGTATGGGGGAAGAAAGAAGCCATGTACCTAAGTAAATGCAACAGTTCCCACCCAAGGACAGAGAGATGAAGAATACTAAGGAAGAAGGAGAGGTCCAACTGCTCATCCCTCTTGAGAGGAAGGCAGTGGAATTCCAGGGTCAAGGGACAGGAGAAAGTCTCCCAGGGAATTGTTGGACAAACTAAGACCTCAGGCACAAAAATCTCATCAAAATCCTTCTGCACCCCTCCCACTTCCTAAGACATAATATGGACCTCAGGATGTTCCTTGCTGTGATTCAAGGATCATGCCTTTCTGAACTTCAGCTTTTTAGAGCCACTGGAAGTCATTGATTAACCCAGGTTAACTAGCAAGTGACAATCCCACAAGAGAATACAGGGAAATCGGATTGACTTCCTGCATCATTGTGACCACAATTATGATGGTTGGTATATTTTGACTGTTTGTCGTGTACCATGTTGTGAACCAATGCTTTGACTTAAGTGTGATATTTTCCGGAACCTTCTACAATTCATCAAGGTGAAAGCTGTTACATCCTCGTGAGGGAGACGGCAACACCAAGACTTAGGGAGGACAGATCTCCCAAGAGCCCAGGCAGCAAGGAAGAGGACTGAGATTTGAACTTGAAACTCTTGCTCTAAACTTCAGCCCCTCCCTGTCTCACCAGGATAATCCACCTATGCTAACAGGTTGTCTTGCTCAGGGACCAGAATGGCAGGGGACGTAAAAAGAAGGTGTAAGACATGATCAAATAGTTTCCAGTTCTGCTTGGAGGAGGGAAGGGAAGAGTGAATAAACTAGAACAGCAAAACGCCAGGTGGCCAAGTAAATGGAGGCACCTGGCATCTCGGGGAGAAGGTGTGATGGGGCTGGGCGGGCTGGTAATGGAATCCACTGCACGCTACTGTTCTGGATGGTGCTTGAGAAAACCCTGGAAGTTTTCTGAAACCAGCCCCTTTTCCTTCTCACAGGGCTAGAAGTTGCAATATCAGAACCAATGTTACATTGGCAACTGCCTTGCACAGGATCTTCATATGGTTTGGTTTGCTTTTATTGTCAACCAAAAGGATATAAACATACAAACTCACTAGTTGGCCGTCATGTGCTGAGGAAGACTTCCAGCCTGTGTGGGCCCCCTAATTGGTTTAGGGATTCCTTTCTCCCTTTGCTTCCCAAGGAAGCAAAAGAGACATCTGATAAGACTGGCCATGGCATGTTGTGTGCAGGACTCTATGGACTCACAGTTTCTGTCTTGGAAAAGACTAGGAAAAAGAGGCCATAGAGAAATTCCCCTCTGAGTTCTACAATGGAAATGCAGAAATAACATTTGGCTGTGGTTTATACATGCCCTGTCTCTTGGTGCTGAAGTTCCCATATTGCTATCATTAAAAACCCAGGGGGAAAAGTTGATCCCTGATTTGTGCAGAACCTAAAACTTCCAGAAACCGTACTAAGGGGTTTACTCATATCCTAGCTGGGTGTTCTGCAAACTCTGTGAATTCAGACCCCAATCCTGCCACTAGGCTGGGTGACCTTTGGCAAATCAGTTTCTCTCTGTGCCTCAGTTTCCAACTCTGTGAAGCAAGTGAGCCATATTTTATCTAACCTAAGAAGCTTCCATTTTAAGATGCATCTTCATTTTTGTGTGGTTAAGAAAGCTCTACTGATTGATGAGATAATAAGATGTGTCCCTGTTTCTGAGATGTTAAAATGCAGAAGCAAAACATGCGTCTTATAACAGATGAAGTTCGGCTAAAAGTGTCCCACCCTCATAAGGGTGAGTTAGTATGGGTAAAGCCCACAGAACAGAGCCAGGCACAGAGTCAGTGAAAAACTGAAAGTCAGCCACCATGACTGTGTCATATAATCCTGCTGACAACTCTAGGACAGAGGTGTTCTTGTGATGCCTTCTTGCACCTGGGTAGACTGAGGCCAGAAGAGCCCCAGAATCTAATTCTGTGCTGAGAAGTGAGTGGTCAGATGCAGGGGCAGGTGCAGGAAGAAGGGGACAAACCTGGCAGAACTCCAGATATGGAGAAGATTCAGCTGGGCTGCCTGGAACATGAAAAGGAGAATAATTTCTCTTCTGCAAGAGAAATCAGCACAATGGGGTTCCATTGAAAATGTGAAATGATTTTCCTCCCTGTCCACATAGGAGAAACTGTGACCTAAAGCGGTAAATTCTGGACTCTAGTCGGTCCTGAGCAGCTTCAGAGCTGGGTGAGCTCTCTGGCCTCTAATCACGGAAGCCACACCCCCTGCACCGAATCACTGATTAACCTGAAAAATAATCAAATAAAAATATCTAACAACCACTTGAGGTTTACCTCTGCTTGTATATCATGCACAGCTTAGGCCAGGAAACTAGCAATGAGTCCTTTTCTCTCAGGGGTGGGGACATCACTGTATGAGACATTTGCAATTCCAGGACTTTTTAGCTTTTAGGATCTCTCTCCCTCTCCCTCTCCCTCTCCCTCTTCTTCTCCCTTCCTCCCTCCCTCTCTCTCCCTCTCCCTCTACTTCTCCCTCTCCCTCTCCCTTTTCCCTTCTCCCTCTCCCTCTCTCTTCTCCTTCTCCCTCTTCTTCTCCCTCCCCTCCCTCTCCCTTCTCCCTTCTCCCTCTCTCTCTCCCTCTCCCTTTTCCTCTCCCTCTCCCTCTCCCTCTCCTTCTTCTTCTCCCTTCCTCCCTCCCTCTCCCTTTAATGCTCTGGACCAGTAATGCTTGCCTTAGGGAATCTTGCTGTAATTGCAAAGCCATGTGACAGTTGGCTCCCCACCATGACAAATCAAGATTCAGGGAAGGAGCATATTCACTACCCCTTGATGCAGGAGAAGCGATAGTCCAGACAGAATGAAGTAAGCTCTCCATCCCTCTGCAGAAGCAGCTGCTCAGGGTGGGAGGGGGTGAGAGAGTAGTGGATAAATGGCTCATAGAGTCTTCTTGGTATGATAGAAGCTTAGAGACCAGTTAGGAACTCTGTCTCTGAAGTCAGACAAAGGTGGCTTCAAATTCCCTTTATGATGCTGTCTAGTGTGAGAATCTGTAAAAGGAGTTGAATAATACCAGGGTCTATGAAATGGATGTGTTGGGAGAATTAAATACAATACTACTTGTGAAATATTGAGCATAATTCCAGGTATCCAACTAACCCCAGTAAAAGGTGATCGTGGTTATCATGATTGCTTGTGATCCTTCTCTTCTCTGTCTGGATGTGAATGTCACCACCACTACCATGCTGAAGATGTGGTCAGCCCAGTTTTGAGGGCAACAGGAGACTGTTAATGGTAGAGTGGGGCCCATCAAGAGTACGGGAAGAAGCAGGTCTAGGCATATATTTTAGATTTGGTGTAAGAATGTTTACCAGTTTGTTGGGATATCCCCAAACTTTGCTCATTTCATAGGGTGCAATGTCTAAGACTAAGATTCTGCCATGGGTGCAGCAAAGGAACCACAGAGAGTAGGAAAACAGAAAAGATGATTTACTAACAAAGAGTAACTATACCTGGACGTGTGGGGCCGGCAGTTGGATAAGGACAACTTCAAAACTGT